CTGTTTCCCAAAGGTGTGTGCTTCCACTGTATATTCTAAAGCTATTTGTCAACATTTCTCTTCTTTGCTTAGAGTTGGTTACTTGTAGTAGCATTCGTGCTTTCTGATCCCATGAAACATAACATTCAAAAAGCCTTTATAAAGTATGGTCCATCAGACATAAGTTTGGCAATGCCCAGGAACCAGGCAGGGAGAAATGTTGTTCATTTCATAACGTAATATTAAATGCTTTGTTTCTTTTCTAAAAATAGTTGATAGGAGCTAATTTAATTTCTGTGAAAAAGTGGATGTGAAGTTGTTGGTTTTCCCATTTTTGTTTAGGCTATTCCTGTGGTGATCCCTGTGATAAAACAGAAAAGACAACTGATGCTTATGGGCCCAAGGTAAATATTCCTCTATTGCACCTATTATCATTAACCAGAGAAAAGGATCTACTTCACACACATTTTTTAAAATAAAGAAATAGATTAAACAATCTGTTAATGAAAGTATGTAAACCCACTATTGTCAGTTGATTCAGCCTTCCAGTATCTGAAGGTGGCCTACAGGAAAGCTGGAGAGGGACTTTTTACAAGGGTGTGTAGTGATAGGACAAGGGACAATGGATTTAAACTGAAAGAGGGGAGATTTAGATTGGATATAAGGAAGAAATTTTCCACTCTGAGGGTGGTGAGGCACTGGAACAGGTTGCCCAGAGAAGTTGTGACTGCCCCATCCCTGGAAGTGCTCAAGGCCAGGTTGGATGAGGCTTTGAGCAACCTGGTGTAGTGGAGGGTTTCCCTGCCCATGGCAGGGGGGTTGGAACTAGGTGATCTTTGAGGTCTCTTCCAACCCCAACCATTCTATGATTCTATGTAAATAAACAGTGAGCATAATAAATATGCAAGTGTTTTGAATTGATATTCTCTTTCTGTGGGACTGCTTTATGAAAAGACAAATGATCTTATGAGAAGGATGCAAGGCTATGATCTGGAAAACTCCATTCTGTTCAGTTTCTGCAGATGCTTGCATGTTGCATTTACTAGATGATTTTTTTTCCTTTTTGCTCCTTTGTTTTTCCTGAGAAATGCTGCACTGTGAGACCGAAAGTATTGAAGCCTGCAGATGTTTTATAGAGATAATAATGTTAAATACTGTGTGTTCTCTTGTAGTAGTTGCTTCTTCATCACCTTGTAAGTTTTTTTCTTAGTCACTTTAAAATATTTTTATTTGCTCTTTTATTGTGAAACAGATTCTGACACACCTAGAAGCTGCCCACCCATTCCCTAGCTATCTCAGATGAGAATACGATATGAATAGGGTTTTCTGTTTGTTGCTAAGTAGAGCAATGAACTTTTTAAAGGTTGTTTCAATAAACTGCCAGACTCTTAAAAAAGTTATTTTGTACCGTTCTTCATGTTCTTAGATAAATGGCAATGGCATCCTAGGACCTTCTCAGGCAAATATGGAAAATAATATCCATCACACAAAAGGATTAATGAATCTCTCAGGATCTGAAGATGCTCCTTCCCTTGGCTTTACCAATCAGATGTCAGATTTTTCTAAACACAGTGACAAATCAGGTAAGAGGAGGTGAGATGTGGGACAGCATTATTCAGTCTTCAGTGTACAAGTACAAAGAAGAATCAAGGCACTGCTGAATAGGCAGAAGTAAGTCAATGTTAGGCTGACAGTCAATTTTAGAAGATCATCTCCAAGTCATGTGCTCTGCTTTAGAGGAATTAGATAATGTTGGAAGTAGATTTATGGAAGTTGGAGTCTGTATTAAGAGAGAAATGAAGGAAAGCCGTGGTAACAGCTAGAAATAATGCCATGGTGTCTGCCCCTTTAGTTTTTTTTTTCCCAAAAGACGTCCTATATTGAGAAAACTTGTCATTTTATACTATTACTCTTTAGAAACAGAGGTTCCAGATGATGAGTATTATGATGAGGATGATCACAATGAAGTTGTCCAGTATCTGTTGGATGTTGTAGATGAGGAAGCCCAGAACCTCTTAAATCGTAATAATGCAACTTCAGAGGCTCAGAGTCTTCTACATCTCAAGAAGGCCTCATCAGAAGATCACCTGCCAGGTAACATGAGCCATTAAAAAAAGCATATAATAAACAGCAAAATATTTCTTGAAACAAGGTGTCAAGTCAGCAACTGATTTGGCAAAAAGAGAGAGTTGACATAGAATTGATGTGTGAACTGAAAGTTTCCTAAGTAGAACACAGACAAATGGTTGCTGATTCTAGAGAACTTAAGATGCAATTTAATAAGTCAAGTTCTGGTTCCATAAATCTGCATTTTGCTTTAAGTAATCTGGGAAAATGAATCCCATTCTGGAATTGTCTCTTGAGTGGAATTCATGTTGTTTAGGTACCTGGTTCTGCAGCTACAGTCATGCTGAAATGTTGAAGCCTTTCAACATTGTATTGATTGCAGATAACACAACTTGGGCATGTGTTGAGATCTCTCCAAAACCAAACAATTTGCCAACCTACTTGTGTCTCTTTTAGAAAACATTTTTTTTCAGTAGCTGCTTCTGTCTGTACACTTGTCTTTTCCTTCATTCCATCTCCTCAGCTCCAGTTGTTAGTAATTGAAATTTAGCATGGAGTAGAATTTGTAGTTCCTTTGTGGTGTCGCCCTGTGTATGTATGCTCCAAAAGTTCAAGCAAGACACTTGCTGTTCGTGTAGAGGTTCTTTCTAGAACTCAAGATATATGTTCCAAAATTATAATAGTTTCAGCTCTTTTGCTGCTCTTCAAGTTCATTGGGTTGTTGTTATTGGTCATTACATTAGAAATCGGGGAACGCTGAGGTTCTGACTGTGCCTGGACCTCAGCTGAGGAATACCATTGGAGCTCCTCTACTTCCAATTTCTTGCAGCTAGGATCTGGCCTTTGCAACTGAAAATAATTTGAATCCATAAGATACAGTAGCAGGTAACTACTGTAGCAGACAGATACAAGTCAAATTTTATCCGGCACATCTTAATTAGGTCTTGCTAATACAAAGAGCAAGTAGAATCCTGGTTTAGATATACTGCTGCTCTAACTGGAACTGAATTGCAGAACTGTTGACATAGTAATCTGATCACTTACTAGCACTAGCCTGTCCATCCGTTACGCTGTGGCACGGATGTTCTGTTAGCTGTGCGAACAACCTCACGTGTCATGGCAGCTGATCCAGTAAAAAAGGAAAGAAGCCTGAAGTCTCATTATCCTATACAGTAAGACCTCTTTTCCAACACACTGGTAGCAAAGGAACTTAAAAAATGTTTCTTGATTGTTCTGGCATGTTTATTCCTTGTTGTTGTGGGTTAGGCTGCTCCGGCAACCAAACGCTACACAGTTGCTCAATCCCCTACCCCTAGGGATGAGGGAGAGAATCAAAGAAGAAAAGAGACCCGTGGGTTGAGATAAGAACAATTTACTACTACCGCTACCAATATATATGTGTACGGATATCTACAAGGATAAACATACAAACAAGTGATGTACGGTGTAATTGCTCACCACCCGTTGACCGAGGCCCGTCTCATCACGAAGCTGCAACCCCGAAACAGATAAATCCTGATACCGCAATCCCGGATGAACGGGAGGCTTGAAAATAGAGAACGAGTGAGAGAGAAAGCTCTCTGAGAGTCCGAAAGTGAGAGTCCCGGAAGGGCAAAAGCCCTTCTTTCCGGCTGACCCTCACTTTTATACTGGGCATGACGCTGCGTGATATGGAATACTAATTGGCCGGTTTGGCCTCAGTCTTAAGTTCAAGTACAAATCGTAAGGAGAGTCATGGACCCCTTGTCCCAGCCATGCTCCCCCCTTATCCTGTTGTGCTCCTGCACACTGGCAAGAACACGGCAGCTGAACAGTCCTTGAGACCTCAGTGCCAACTACAAACATCAGCGTGCTATCAACGTTCTTCTCAGAGCGAGCCTCTGAGTAAAACCAAAACATGGAGCTCTTCTAGCTGCAAAAAAGAAGAGCTAACTCTGTCCCAGCTAAAACCAGGACACCTGTGTAGTGCCAGACAGGTGTAACAGGATTCACATTGGTGACTCTTTTGGTGTCTTTGTGCTGTGTCTCCTGATTTTCCTGTTCCAGTAGAGATGAACGGAAAGCTGACGGAAGATAAGTCTGAAGACACAGACTGTGACGGTTCGTCTTTACCTGAAGATTTTTCAGAGGTGGGATGTCAAGAAGGTGGCAGACATTTGTCTGCTGACTTTGCTTTCCCAGATGCTCCTTCAATTTATTATTTTCCTTATTGGTATAGAACTTGTGGAAGCAACTTTACATGTCTTTTAAATGAAGACATCTTTGTCAGTGGTAGCTGTACAAAGTTTGTACAAATGGTGTACAAACATTTATTTTTAAAATAGTGTGTGATGATTCTGTCATAAATTGACAATGTAAGAGAACAAAGCATAGATTAATTTTTCACTGCTTCTCATACAAAGCCAAACAGCTTTTTTTCAAAAAAGGGTGATAATATACTACCTTGTTAATGTTATTTCAGGCATTTATTCTAAAAGACTTCCTTGATTCCTGCTCGAAGAAGGGAGGCAGTCACAGTGAATGCTGTGTAGACTTAACTGTCCAAAATATAAATTTGAGATTTGCTTTCCTCCTGCTTTTTGCTAGGATATGTTCATTGACTTGAATAACTTCTGTATGTGCTTTACCCTACATTATTGCATGTCCTGTTTTACATCAGTGACTAGATGCCCAGGTTTTGTCTCATACGTCACATCAGCAGAACTGTCTATCCAGCCCATCCTGGCTGATGCAGCTTTCTGTCCAGTTAGAAGAGCTGAGGATCAAGTCAAGAATCTGGCTCTGTGTCAGTCCGCTCTAGGAGATCCACAAGTACAATTTTCGGAGTATGGCAGTGGAAACTTGCAAGCTGACCTAATAAATATAAATGGTTTTGTAGAGTTTTTGTTGAAAGTAGGCTTAAAATGCCTTCTCTGCTGAGTCTTCATTATCTCTTGAGGAAGGCATATATAGGAGTACCTGTCGTTTAGAGGTAAAGCCCTGTTTTGTTCTATATGGGAATGGTGGCTTGACAGGAGGCAGAAGTTTCCACTATCAAACTTAACTCATAAAGGGTTTTTAAGTATTAGAAACAAAGAAAAAGTCAACTGGAGAAAGTTTAGATGGCTCTACTGCTTCTGTGAATCGGGAATTATTTTAAGATAGCTTTTTGGCCTTGTTGCAGTAGAGCCTCTTTCCAAGTGCTCAGTGTTCTTGTCCTCTGTTATTTTGGGTTAATGAGATATCTAAAAAAGGAAAGTCTTTCATTATGTGCTGCTTTGAACTTAGTATCCTTCAGAAATAGTCCATGTAATTGTTAATTGTTTAAAACGTACAGTGGGTGAGTGTTATAACAATGTCCTTTAATGTGTTTTGAAATATTTCTTCCACTAGCCAGCACACATAAATGGCTGTGAAGACTATTCTGAAGTAAAAGCCATGCCAGAAAGGTAAGATTTCTTTTCTAGTGTTGCCTGAAAGCAAGCGTGTGAAGTCTGAAACTCTGAAGGAGGGATATGTTGTGAGAGGGGGAAAAAAAAAACCAGCACAACACCACCACCAAACACCCCCAATCCAAACTCAATAAAATATCTGTGCAATGTCTTGCTGAATTGCTCTCTGTCTATTATTGTTATTTAAAAAGCTACAATTTACCTGAATGCTGTCAGCTCTATGCGGTTTATGCCCTAGTTCTATTTATTCCTTTGATATGTGGTTATAACAAGTAACTGGGCTGTGTTCACATGGCTCCAAATCACTTAATTTGCATTGTACTAACAATTTGGTACTTGCATGTGCAGAAAACATTCAAACAATACTGTCTTCAGCTTGAATCTTTACAAGCTTCGTTAACGTTACTTCTGGTTTTAGAGCACAGGAACTAAACCGTATAGTTCCACCAGTCCATCTGTTCCCATTTGGGTGCTTGGGGATTTTTTTTTTTTTTAACATGGAAAACTAAGGATATGTCTGGCCAAGTTGCTAGCTGTCACTTAGAGCCTACCTTGAATTTTGGATTTTCCGAGATTGCTTATCTTTGTGAAATAATTTTAGTCCTTAGTCTAAGTGAAGCTTCAGTCAAACTATACGTAGTTCTTTTTATGTTTTGATTAAGTTTCTGGGAAGTTTTGGGCTGAGACTTGGCAAAAGCAGTGACATTATGACCTAAAATACTTAATACACTTATCGCCACCTTCAACAAAGCTAGAAAACCTGCAATTGAAAATAGATATTCTAGTGTATAGGTAGTGAATTATGTGAATGGTACAAATCTGCTCTTGGATATCATTTGACTGCTCAGGCTTTGAAAAGTAATTGCAGTGATAGTTATTACTAGATTCATGTCTTCCTGGCTCTCTTTCCACTATTACCTTTTTCAAATCCCAGCTGGGTATTTAAAAAGGGGAAAAAATGGTGGTTTTTTGACATTACTGGTAGGGATCCAGTCCAGAAGTACTTGTAGCTTTTAATTACTTACTTTCTGGGCATTTTTTTATTAGATTGCAAATGTGTTTGTTATTTCTAGGTGTTCTTTCTTACTTCTATATCTTGTCCTCTTGTAGATCCCCTCCACAACCTCCCTTGAGCCAAGCAGATGAAGATGAAATCACATGGGGAAGTGATGAACTGCCAGTTGAATCAGTCAGCCAAGAACATGTAAATAAAGGTAAGAACTTTAACAAATGATCAGTGGAAAACTGTGGATCACATTAAATAGACAAAATGTCAGAGGTGAATTTTAAAATGTCCTGAATATGTTTTGAGGGTGTAATGACAGGTATAATGGGAAATCTAGCAGCTCAGCAACCCACTGGAAAGGATCTTTACAGCTTTGTGAAATACGTGTGTCAGAGTTAATAGGAACAAGTATTGGCAACATTGTGCCTGTAGTGATGGTGGAGTTGAAATCACCTGAGATGCTTTCTTCCATAGTATCTATCTGACAAAAGCTGTAACAATACAGATGTATTGATCTGATCAGGGTCAAACGTTATGTGCTTCACATACAGAATCACAGAATGTTAGGAATTGGAAGGGACATCAAAGGATCATCTAGTCCAATCCCCGTGCCGGAGCAGGACCACCTAGATCAGATCACACAAGAGCGCGTCCAGGCGGGTTTTGAACATCTCCAGAGAAGGAGACTCCACAACCTCTCTGGGCAGCCTGTTCCAGTGTTCTGTTACCCTTACTCATGTTTAAGCGGAACCTCCTATGTTCCAGCTTATATCCGTTTCCCCTTGTCCTATCATTGGATGCCAGTGAGAAGAGCCTGGCTCCATCCTCATGACAGTCACCCTTTGCATATTTATAAACATTAATGAGATCCCCCCTCAGTCTTCTCCAAGCTAAAGAGA